GAAAATGGGGGTCAAAGTGTGCCATTTTGGTCCCAAAAGCACTTTTTAAAAATAATTTTAAAAAAATCTAAAAAAGTTCCCTGACTGATTTCACTGCAAACTTGTTCACTGGGATGCCCTCTACCACTGTGTAAAATATCATTCACTTTTACTGTAGAAATCCAGAGAAAATGGGGGTCAAAGTGTGCCATTTTGGTCCCAAAAGCACTTTTTAAAATTCATTTTAAAAAAAACTAAAAAAGTTCCCTCACTACTTTCACTGCACACTTGTTCACCAGGATGCCCTCTACCACTGTGTAAAATATCATTCACTTTTACTGTAGAAATCCAGAGAAAATGGGGGTCAAAGTGTGCCATTTTGGTCCCAAAAGCACTTTTTAAAATTAATTTTAAAAAAATCTAAAAAAGTTCCCTGACTACTTTCACTGCACACTTGTTCACTGGGATGCCCTTTACCACTGTGTAAAATATCATTCACTTTTACTGTAGAAATCCAGAGAAAATGGGGGTCAAAGTGTGCCATTTTGGTCCCAAAAGCACTTTTTAAAATTCATTTTAAAAAAAACTAAAAAAGTTCCCTCACTACTTTCACTGCACACTTGTTCACCAGGATGCCCTCTACCACTGTGTAAAATATCATTCACTTTTACTGTAGAAATCCAGAGAAAATGGGGGTCAAAGTGTGCACAAGTGGTCCCAAAAGCACTTTTTAAAATTCATTTTAAAAAAACTAAAAAAGTTCCCTGACTACTTTCACTGCACACTTGTTCAACAGGATGCCCTCTACCACTGTGTAAAATATCATTCACTTTTACTGTAGAAATCCAGAGAAAATGGGGGTCAAAGTGTGCACAAGTGGTCCCAAAAGCACTTTTTAAAATTCATTTTAAAAAAAACTAAAAAAGTTCCCTGACTACTTTCACTGCACACTTGTTCACTGGGATGCCCTTTACCACTGTGTAAAATATCATTCACTTTTACTGTAGAAATCCAGAGAAAATGGGGGTCAAAGTGGCCATTTTGGTCCCAAAAGCACTTTTTAAAAATCATTTTAAAAAAATCTAAAAAAGTTCCCTGACTGATTTCACTGCACACTTGTTCACTGGGATGCCCTCTACCACTGTGTAAAATATCATTCACTTTTACTGTAGAAATCCAGAGAAAATGGGGGTCAAAGTGTGCCATTTTGGTCCCAAAAGCACTTTTTAAAATTCATTTTAAAAAAATCTAAAAAAGTTCCCTCACTACTTTCACTGCACACTTGTTCACTGGGATGCCCTTTACCACTGTGTAAAATGTCATTCACTTTTACTGTAGAAATCCAGAGAAAATGGGGGTCAAAGTGTGCCATTTTGGTCCCAAAAGCACTTTTTAAAATTCATTTTAAAAAAAACTAAAAAAGTTCCCTCACTACTTTCACTGCACACTTGTTCACTGGATGCCCTCTACCACTGTGTAAAATATCATTCACTTTTACTGTAGAAATCCAGAGAAAATGGGGGTCAAAGTGTGCCATTTTGGTCCCAAAAGCACTTTTTAAAATTCATTTTAAAAAAATCTAAAAAAGTTCCCAGACTACTTTCACTGCACACTTGTTCACCAGGATGCCCTCTACCACTGTGTAAAATATCATTCACTTTTACTGTAGAAATCCAGAGAAAATGGGGGTCAAAGTGTGCCATTTTGGTCCCAAAAGCACTTTTTAAAATTCATTTTAAAAAAATCTAAAAAAGTTCCCTGACTACTTTCACTGCACACTTGTTCACTGGGATGCCCTCTACCACTGTGTAAAATATCATTCACTTTTACTGTAGAAATCCAGAGAAAATGGGGGTCAAAGTGTGCACAAGTGGTCCCAAAAGCACTTTTTAAAATTCATTTTAAAAAAATCTAAAAAAGTTCCCTGACTACTTTCACTGCACACTTGTTCAACAGGATGCCCTCTACCACTGTGTAAAATATCATTCACTTTTACTGTAGAAATCCAGAGAAAATGGGGGTCAAAGTGTGCACAAGTGGTCCCAAAAGCACTTTTTAAAATTCATTTTAAAAAAATCTAAAAAAGTTCCCTGACTACTTTCACTGCACACTTGTTCACAGGATGCCCTCTACCACTGTGTAAAATATCATTCACTTTTACTGTAGAAATCCAGAGAAAATGGGGGTCAAAGTGTGCACAATTGGTCCCAAAAGCACTTTTTAAAAATTCATTTTAAAAAAATCTAAAAAAGTTCCCTACTACTTTCACTGCACACTTGTTCACTGGGATGCCCTCTACCACTGTGTAAAATATCATTCACTTTTACTGTAGAAATCCAGAGAAAATGGGGGTCAAAGTGTGCCATTTTGGTCCCAAAAGCACTTTTTAAAATTCATTTTAAAAAAATCTAAAAAAGTTCCCTGACTACTTTCACTGCACACTTGTTCACTGGATGCCCTCTACCACTGTGTAAAATATCATTCACTTTTACTGTAGAAATCCAGAGAAAATGGGGGTCAAAGTGTGCCATTTTGGTCCCAAAAGCACTTTTTAAAATTCATTTTAAAAAAACTAAAAAAGTTCCCTCACTACTTTCACTGCACACTTGTTCACTGGGATGCCCTCTACCACTGTGTAAAATATCATTCACTTTTACTGTAGAAATCCAGAGAAAATGGGGGTCAAAGTGTGCCATTTTGGTCCCAAAAGCACTTTTTAAAATTCATTTTAAAAAAATCTAAAAAAGTTCCCTGACTACTTTCACTGCACACTTGTTCACAGGATGCCCTCTACCACTGTGTAAAATATCATTCACTTTTACTGTAGAAATCCAGAGAAAATGGGGGTCAAAGTGTGCCATTTGGTCCCAAAAGCACTTTTTAAAATTCATTTTAAAAAAATCTAAAAAAGTTCCCTGACTACTTTCACTGCACACTTGTTCACTGGGATGCCCTCTACCACTGTGTAAAATATCATTCACTTTTACTGTAGAAATCCAGAGAAAATGGGGGTCAAAGTGTGCCATTTTGGTCCCAAAAGCACTTTTTAAAATTCATTTTAAAAAAAACTAAAAAAGTTCCCAGACTACTTTCACTGCACACTTGTTCACCAGGATACCCTCTACCACTGTGTAAAATATCTTTCACTTTTACTGTAGAAATCCAGAGAAAATGGGGGTCAAAGTGTGCCATTTTGGTCCCAAAAGCACTTTTTAAAATTCATTTTAAAAAAAATCTAAAAAAGTTCCCTGACTACTTTCACTGCACACTTGTTCACTGGATGCCCTCTACCACTGTGTAAAATATCTTTCACTTTTACTGTAGAAATCCAGAGAAAATGGGGGTCAAAGTGTGCCATTTTGGTCCCAAAAGCACTTTTTAAAATTCATTTTAAAAAAATCTAAAAAAGTTCCCTGACTGAGTTTCACTGCAAACTTGTTCACTGGGATGCCCTCTACCACTGTGTAAAATATCTTTCACTTTTACTGTAGAAATCCAGAGAAAATGGGGGTCAAAGTGTGCCATTTTGGTCCCAAAAGCACTTTTTAAAATTCATTTTAAAAAAATCTAAAAAAGTTCCCTCACTACTTTCACTGCATACTTGTTCACTGGGATGCCCTCTACCACTGTGTAAAATGTCATTCACTTTTACTGTAGAAATCCAGAGAAAATGGGGGTCAAAGTGTGCCATTTTGGTCCCAAAAGCACTTTTTAAAATTCATTTTAAAAAAATCTAAAAAAGTTCCCTCACTACTTTCACTGCATACTTGTTCACCAGGATGCCCTCTACCACTGTGTAAAATATCATTCACTTTTACTGTAGAAATCCAGAGAAAATGGGGGTCAAAGTGTGCACAAGTGGTCCCAAAAGCACTTTTTAAAATTAATTTTTAAAAAGTCTAAAAAAGTTCCCTCACTACTTTCACTGCACACTTGTTCACTGGGATGCCCTCTACCACTGTGTAAAATGTCATTCACTTTTACTGTAGAAATCCAGAGAAAATGGGGGTCAAAGTGTGCCATTTTGGTCCCAAAAGCACTTTTTAAAATTCATTTTAAAAAAAATCTAAAAAAGTTCCCTGACTACTTTCACTGCACACTTGTTCACTGGGATGCCCTCTACCACTGTGTAAAATATCATTCACTTTTACTGTAGAAATCCAGAGAAAATGGGGGTCAAAGTGTGCCATTTTGGTCCCAAAAGCACTTTTTAAAATTCATTTTAAAAAAATCTAAAAAAGTTCCCTCACTACTTTCACTGCAAACTTGTTCACTGGGATGCCCTTTACCACTGTGTAAAATATCATTCACTTTTACTGTAGAAATCCAGAGAAAATGGGGGTCAAAGTGTGCCAGTATAGTCTTTACATGTATTCAATTCTTTCATATTGATTAGGGATCTGAAGTATTTCATATATATGTAACAACTCATCAAAGATGCATGCATCTTTTCAAAAATAATAATATTCTGTGGGGAAGAATATTCATAATGTGCTGCAAACACATACACTTTTTTTCACACAAAGCATTTGCATTTGTTATTCAGCAATACAAACAAGCGGTAAAATAAGTCTCAACTGTAAAAGATTTCTGACTACATTCTACTTTGTTTGTATTGAACCCCCCGCTCCGCAGCTAGAGCTATTGTGTAGAGCAGCCATTCCCAAACTCAGTAACACCGAGGCCCCCTTAAAAATCTGACGGGTCTGCGTGGCCCCCCAAAATAATAACCAAGAAGACAACATTAAGAATAGGCTCTTCTGGTTATTTTATTTTGGGGAAATAGCCTCTGCTACAAACATTGTAATACAAAAATGATTGTCAGTGGCACCCATCTAATCTAGCTGTAGTCCTCTTTCGGTTGTTATCTTTTGCATCCAAGTGTGTATTTTAGTGTAGTTTGCTGTGTTTTGCCTGCATGGGACTGAGTAGATTGGACTACGGCAGAGGCTGTGGAGCAGCCCACACCCCCAGACAGCAATTGGTTGACGCTGCTCTTTCCCACTATAAAAAAGGGAATTATGAATGAATGGGGGAGGAGTCTGGTGGTGCGGAAACAAAACTTTGACAAGAGACATTCCACACGGAAGAAGAGAGAGCAGATCAGCGGGACCAGGCCGGGAGCAGATCAGCGGGACCAGGCCGGGAACAGATCAGCGGGACCAGGCCGGGAGCAGATCAGCGGGACCAGGCAAGGAGCAGATCAGCGGGACCAGGCCGGGAGCAGATCAGCGGGACCAGGCCGGGAGCAGATCAGCGGGTCCAGGCCGGGAGCAGATCAGCGGGACCAGGCCGGGAGCAGATCAGCGGGACCAGGCAAGGAGCAGATCAGCGGGACCAGGCCGGGAGCAGATCAGCGGGACCAGGCCGGGAGCAGATCAGCGGGACCAGGCCGGGAGCAGATCAGCGGGACCAGGCCGGGAGCAGATCAGCGGGTCCAGGCCGGGAGCAGATCAGCGGGACCAGGCCGGGAGCAGATCCGCGGGACCAGGCCGCAGCAGATCCGCGGGACCAGGCCGCAGGGGCAGGAGACCCAGAAACGCCCACACGAGCTAAGTAAAGGGACGTGTAATATACTTACTCCGTACTGGTACTGTGGTCTGGCTCTCTGCCCCATTTCCCCCTCCTACCTTGAGGCTTCACTGTGCCCAGTGCTCTGGAGGAACCGGGAGCGTGTGAGTCTGAGGCGGCGTGAAGAGGACGCGACCTGGGGACCACCGCTGATTTATACAACGCTCTCTAGGCGCAGACTAAAGGGACGGCCCCATAAGCTCTACAAGGCGCATAATATGAACTATAGCTTTGAGAGAAACTGACAGCGGAATTGTGTTTCCTCCGCAGACACCAACCGAGGGCCCATACCGGCGTGAGGCGGGGACACGCGCGCAGTCTTAGAGACAGACTGCGGTCTTTGGAGCTCCAGATTTCAATCTTTTTTATACTGACTTTTATGTATTTTAATACCAGCTTTTAGTCGTATACTTTAAGACTTTTTATATCATGTTATATTAAAGCTTGTGAACCTGCTTTACTTGGGCTTGTTATTTAACAGTGGTGTTTCTTTAAACGGATCTAAAAAGAACCTCACACCCTGTGTGACAATTTTGGCGTTGCTGACAGGATCCGTACCACTGTTAAACATGCAGGCACAAGCAGGTACAAGTTCTAGGACTGGATCTAATTCCATCACTGCACAGTTCACTATGCCCTACTACCAATCGTCACCTCATACCCATTTGAGATTGTGGGTATAGATTATCTATCATTGGGACGAGAGGGGGACCCGTACACATACATTCTTGTTATGACTGATTTATTTTCAAAATTTGCTGTTGCTGTCCCCACTAGAGACCAGGGAGCAGAGACCACAGCACGTGCGTTATACACACATTGGATCCATCTTTTCGGATGTCCAGAGCGCATTCTCAGCGACCGGGGGGCTACATTTGAATCATCGTTAATTGCCCAACTGTGTCAACTCTACGGCTGCCGGAAGGACCGTACTACTGCTTACCACCCACAAGGGAATGGGGCTTGCGAGCGGTTTAACCAAACCCTCCTTGGGCTCTTAGGGTCCTTGGAGGAAACTCAACAGGCACACTGGCATACCCACTTACCAGCACTTGTCCAGGCTTATAACAACACCCCCCATGGGACTACTGGCTTGACCCCCCACTACTTAGTTTTTGGGAGACATGCAAGGCTGCCGGTAGATTGGACCACAGGTTTGGGGCCCACTGCTGACCGTCACTCTCTAGAAGGATGGGTCAAAGGACACCAAAAGGCACTAAACCATGCTTATGGCGTGGCAAAACAAAAGACTGAACTGAGACAAGAAAATGACCGTACGCGTTATGACCGGAGGGCAAAGCTCGCGCCCCTGTTGCCGGGGGAGCGTGTCCTCATCCGGAACTTTCGTCGCCGAGCAGGTGGGAAACTGTCCCCCAGATGGAACCCAGAACTCTATGTCGTCGTGGCTCCACTGCGCAAAGACCACCCAGTGTATGTCATACGCCCCGAAGGTAAAGACTCTCCTACACGCACCATTCACAGAAATAACTTGAGGCCATGTCCGTTAAATGTGTTGGAGCCCAGGCAGGAGTCTACAACCCCAGAAGCGGCCGAACCACCGAGTGAAATGTGTCAGCCCCCTCCGACATGGTGGCTCCCAGGACTGGTCACTCCCACTCAGTCTTGCCTCCCAGAATCAGCCAGGGCCCCAGTTCCAGCAATTATAAGGAGCCCAGAGCCTGCTACTCCACCTGAGCATTCAGAACAGTTCCCCCAAAGTGCACGACGGTCTCAACGTACAAATATAGGAAAAAGACCTGTCAGATATGGTGACTGAGATTGATCGGGACGACCAATATTATAGACGGGGGGAATGTCAGTGGCACCCATCTAATCTAGCTGTAGTCCTCTTTCGGTTGTTATCTTTTGCATCCAAGTGTGTATTTTAGTGTAGTTTGCTGTGTTTTGCCTGCATGGGACTGAGTAGATTGGACTACGGCAGAGGCTGTGGAGCAGCCCACACCCCCAGACAGCAATTGGTTGACGCTGCTCTTTCCCACTATAAAAAAGGGAATTATGAATGAATGGGGGAGGAGTCTGGTGGTGCGGAAACAAAACTTTGACAAGAGACATTCCACACGGAAGAAGAGAGAGCAGATCAGCGGGACCAGGCCGGGAGCAGATCAGCGGGACCAGGCCGGGAACAGATCAGCGGGACCAGGCAAGGAGCAGATCAGCGGGACCAGGCCGGGAGCAGATCAGCGGGACCAGGCCGGGAGCAGATCAGCGGGACCAGGCCGGGAGCAGATCAGCGGGTCCAGGCCGGGAGCAGATCAGCGGGACCAGGCCGGGAGCAGATCCGCGGGACCAGGCCGCAGCAGATCCGCGGGACCAGGCCGCAGGGGCAGGAGACCCAGAAACGCCCACACGAGCTAAGTAAAGGGACGTGTAATATACTTACTCCGTACTGGTACTGTGGTCTGGCTCTCTGCCCCATTTCCCCCTCCTACCTTGAGGCTTCACTGTGCCCAGTGCTCTGGAGGAACCGGGAGCGTGTGAGTCTGAGGCGGCGTGAAGAGGACGCGACCTGGGGACCACCGCTGATTTATACAACGCTCTCTAGGCGCAGACTAAAGGGACGGCCCCATAAGCTCTACAAGGCGCATAATATGAACTATAGCTTTGAGAGAAACTGACAGCGGAATTGTGTTTCCTCCGCAGACACCAACCGAGGGCCCATACCGGCGTGAGGCGGGGACACGCGCGCAGTCTTAGAGACAGACTGCGGTCTTTGGAGCTCCAGATTTCAATCTTTTTTATACTGACTTTTATGTATTTTAACACCAGCTTTTAGTCGTATACTTTAAGACTTTTTATATCATGTTATATTAAAGCTTGTGAACCTGCTTTACTTGGGCTTGTTATTTAACAGTGGTGTTTCTTTAAACGGATCTAAAAAGAACCTCACACCCTGTGTGACATGATTACAGTGGATTATTCAAGTCAAATAATGAACACAAATATTTTAATATTACAAACAAAACATTATAAATTTAACATTAAATAATTATATTTTTTTTTTATTTTTTTTATGACCTCCCGCGGCCCCCCTGCAGTACCCTCGCGGCCCACCAGGGGGCCGCGGACCCCACTTTGGGAGACACTGGTGTAGAGAATATGAAGTCGAGCTGTCTCTACAGATTGACTTTGTGAGTAACAGGTAGGCACAAAAACAGATGGCTGCATCCAGCACATCATCCATATTCTGCAGAAGCTCCGCTGAACACATTACCATTGATTTGTCTCCAGCTCCAGATGTTCTGTGGCCATCTGACATTTGATAATCCAGAGATGGTATCGTGGCGCGGGCCACTGCAGGGAGATGAATTACCTGCTCAGCTCATGACACACTTCATATTCAAACGCCTCTAAACAGATGGAGCTCTACTCTGCATCTGCACTATACAAAAACACGCTCTTGGAATGATTAAAACAATGTACAGTAAATATCAGTATAACCTGTATTATTGTAGATTAGCACACACATAATTAGGGCCAGAGTAATGTTGGATTTTGAAAAAAATCAGCCAGAATGTCACGATGTTTGCCCATGTTTTGGGTTTTTCTATACGTAATCTACATTTATATGGATGATGAGTGGACGACAGATTAAAGATCATTATAAACCAAAGCACAAGTTCACAATATCATTCAGCCAACTTCAGATGCACCAATATATACAACTCATACACAGTTCTAGCTTTGAATGTAGGCTATATCCACCCAAGTAAAGTAGAAAAACGTAGATTAAAACAAATAGTTTGATATTTCAAATAAAATACCTCCTGTAAAACATGTCTTTGGAGGTTTTATTTAAGTTTTCATCTGGAGGAAGAACCAACTTGATTAGGAGTTTTTCAAGGAAATTTTGGGGTTAGGCCTCTTGGGAAATGAGAAAGCTGCTGGAATAACAGCAACTTCCAGAGTGCAGGCTTTAAACTGGAAAGAGCCACGTCAGAATATCTGCTGAAGGAAGTGACTCTCAGCAGAGAGCAAAGTACTAAAACTGTTTAAGTACTAAAGAATACAAACTTTTTCATTTCATAAAGAAAATATGCAGATTCCTGACATTTGGTAGATAATATCGCAATTAATCCAATTATACTTTTTATGTCATGCAAAAATGTTTAACATAAGTTGTAGAAAGTGTCAAGCTTATTTAAGAATCTTCCATGGATTTAATACTGTCTAAATTAGGAACATGTGATTAAAATATTATATATCAAATTACCTGAAAAGACTGTAAAAGGACTCATTCTTACCGTGTAAGAATCAGCCGACCACAACCGCTGATACTGAAACTTTGAAACTTGCTATGCTTAATGTCAGATCTCTTTGTAACAAGTCTTTTTTAATCAATAATTTTATTTGTTCTCATAATCTTGATCTTATGTTCATGGCTGAAACTTGGCTTGACCAAAATTCAGGAAATGCAGTTTTAATAGAAGCATCACCACCAAATTTCAAGTTTGAATCTGAAAGACGGGAAAACAAAAAAGGAGGAGGCTTAGCTGCCATTTTTAGAGACCACTTTGTCTCCCATAGAATGTCTCTTGGGAAGTTTTCGTCATTTGAATATGTGTCTTTTAAAATACAACAAAAACAATCTCCTCCAATACTCTTCATTGTCCTATACAAGCCACCGCAGTCATGTCACAGTTTTATTGATAATTTTACCGAGTTGCTTTCAGTTGTATGCACAGATTTTGATAGTTTGGTTATTACAGGTGATTTTAATATTCATGTGGATAATGTTGATGACAGAAATGCAAATGAGCTGAGTTCTGTACTTGAATCCTTTGATCTCATTCAGCACGTAAGTGGCCCCACCCACAGCAGAGGGCACACTCTACAAAGGGGGTGAATATTTCAAATGTAAACGTGGTCGATGTTGCTCTTTCGGATCATTTCTGTGTTTTTTTTGACGTGTTTCACTAACAAACCATCAGTGGACTCTGCAACTGTACGAAGAAGACACATAAATGAAAATACGAGTGAACTATTTATGGGAATGATAAACTTTGAGAATGCATCGTATTCTACTGTAGATGAACTGTTTAACTCTGTCACCTCTAGTGTTTTGAATGTTCTGGACACCATCGCTCCTGTGAAGGTTAAAATAGTGAAAAATAAGCAGAAGGCGCCGTGGGCTAAAGCAGACTTGGTCAGGGCACAAAAGAGATTTGCCGGAGGGCCGAGCGGAAGTGGTGCAAGTCCAACCTCCAGGTTGATTACGAGATCTTCAAAGATAAGTTGTGCGAGTTTAACCGGGTGCTACGTAGTACGAGAGAAAGGTATTTTTCTGAAATGATTGAAGGCTGCAGCAACAATCTGCGTGTTCTGTTCTCAACAGTTAATAGATTAACAAGCCCCCCTGTTCAAATGCCATTAGAGCTTACTTCCAAACGTAAATGCAATGAGTTTGCTAATTTTTTCAATGACAAGGTTCAAGGCATCAAAAACGCCATTGTCTCCAATTCACAGATAACCATCCAACAGCCAGAAAGGCTCTCTGCTCACTTTGCACCTGTAAATGATAAAACTGTCCAAGAGATAATCTCCAGTTTGAGCTCCTCCACATGCAGCTTGGATGTACTACCCGCTAGATTTCTGAAGTCTGTTCTGAGCAGTCTGTTACCTTCACTCACACAGATAGTAAACATGTCCCTTCATTCTGGAATATTCCCAAAGGCCCTGAAAACTGCAGTCATCAGGCCCCTGCTAAAAAAGAGCAGTCTCGATGCTACGGTACTTAACAACTATCGTCCCATCTCAAATCTGCCATTTATGGGGAAAGTCCTTGAAAAAGTTGTCTACCTACAGCTTACTAGATTTCTTATAATCAACAACTCATTTGATATGTTTCAGTCCGGCTTTAGACCCCACCACAGCACTGAGACTGCTCTTGTTAAGGTTACAAACGATATCCGGCTGAACACTGACGCAGGCAAAGTCTCAATCTTAATCCTGTTAGATCTGAGTGCTGCCTTTGACACTGTCGACCATGAGATCCTCTTACAGAGATTAGAGGACTGGGTTGGAGTCGCTGGGACCGCCCTAAGTTGGTTTAGGTCTTACCTTGAGGACAGGAAGTACTTTGTGGAGATTGGAAACTGTGTCTCAGATCATATGGCCCTGACCTGTGGAGTACCACAGGGGTCGATCCTGGGACCTCTTCTGTTCAATCTCTACATGCTGCCGTTAGGTCAGTTAATACGCAGAAACGAAGTTTCCTATCATAACTATGCAGACGACACTCAGATCTATGTCTCACTGACTGCAGGAGAACATGGACCAGTGGACTCACTCCTTCACTGTATCCAACAGATCAGTGAGTGGATGCAAAACAACTTCCTTCAGCTAAACGCAGACAAAACTGAAATGATTGTCTTTGGTCCCCAGAAACAAAGAGAGAGCGTCATCTGTCACCTCCAGTCTCTCTCCCTAAAACCTTCAAACAAGGTCAGAAATCTAGGGGTAAGACTGGACTCAGACTTAAATTTTAATAGCCACATCAAATCAGTAACATCAGCAGCTTTTTACCATCTAAAAAACATTGCCAGGATCAAAAACATAGTGTCTAAAGCAGACTTGGAGATTCTTATCCATGCATTTGTCTCCAGTAGGTTAGACTACGGCAATGGCCTGCTCACAGGTCTGTCCAAACAGGCTGTAAAACAGCTGCAGTACATTCAAAATGCAGCAGCTCGAGTCCTGACAAGAACCAGGAAGTACGACCACATTAGTCCAGTTCTCAGGTCTCTGCACTGGCTTCCTGTGGCTCAGAGAATAGACTTTAAAACAGCTCTGCTTGTGTACAAGTCTCTCCATCGCCTCGCACCAAAATATATTAGTGACGTAAACAGCTAAGTTAGCCAAACAGCTAATAGCAACAAACTTTACAACTACTGTGGAGCATCAAAATGGGTCCAAAAAAAGTCGCGGAGGTTGTTGAAGACGTTGACGACATCAAAGCAACACTCAATTTCCTCGGAAAGGAAATTGCGGATGTAAAGAAAAGTCAGGAAACTATCTTGAAATTAGTGAATGAGGTCAGGGAGCTTCGTACTCAAAATGAGGAGAAGGACAGAAAAATCGTGTTTCTGGAGAGAAGGGTTGAAGACCTGGAGCAATATACACGAATGAATGATCTCATCATCACTGGGCTCCATGTGAAGCCCCGTTCCTATGCACGGGCTGTGGAAGGGAGCAGCAGGGATACGGCCGCAGAGGACACAACCACAGTGGAGCAACAAGTGGCTACCTTTCTGCAAGCAAAAGGGTTGGACTTTAACTGTAACTACATTGAAGCTTTCCATGTGTTGCCCAGGAGAAAAGCTGGAGAAAATCCTCCCATTATAATCAGATTTGTTAAT